TTTTTTAAAAAAAAAAAAAAAAAAACCCCCAAAAAAAAAAAAAAAAAAAAAAAAAAAAAGGCAGAATTTTGCAAGTAGAGGTCTCTGCAGTACATGTTGTCTTGTGGGCAGAGGCAGCCTTACTCGTGATTGGTGGAGGTTTTGATGTGGGCGGAGTTGACCCTGATCGTGATCAGCGAAGTTGGTGTGTGAGCGGAGTTTTCCCTAAACCTGATTGGTCGGATTGACATGTCTTGTGGGGCAACTTAAAAGAGGAAGTAATAATAGTAAAAAAAAAACTATGATTTATTGACTGTCTAGGTACAGCTTAAAACAGAACAATGACTCAAATAAAAATTATTGTGAAAATGGAAACATAATTTGACTTAAAATTTCAGACGGCAAGCTTCTTCCTATCTCAAATTATGACTAATATTCATATTGATTTTTAGTGATCTTTTTACAGGCTTGTTAGGGATGTTTTGACTGACCCAAATTGGTACTCGTCCCTCCATAAGTACAACTTTCAAATTTCGTGCAACTAGCAGCTTTCTTTCTCAAGTTATGACTAAAATTAATCTTAAACATGTTGCTTCCTGCCCAACTCGACGAAGCTACTCCACGAGTAGGGCTGTCTCCGCCCACGTCAAGACCTCCATCAATCACGAGTAGGGTCATCTCCAGCCACATCACGACCTCCGTCAATCACGAGTAGGGTTGTCTCCACCCACATCAAGACCTCTGTCAATCACGAGTAGGGTTGTCTCCGCCCACATCAAGACCTCCGTCAATCACGAGTAGGGTTGTCTCCGCCCACATCAAGANACATCAAGAACTCTGTCAATCACGAGTAGGGTTGTCTCCGCCCACATCAAGACCTCCGTCAATCACGAGTAGGGTTGTCTCCGCCCACATCAAGACCACCAATCACAAGTAGGGTCATCTCTGCCCACAACAAGACCTCTGCTAAGCATGAGTAGGGTCGACTCCGCCCACATCAAGACTTCTGCCAATTGTAGGGGTCACCTTGAGTGAAGAAACAAGAGTTCCTGTCTTCTCGTCAGGCCTGCTTCGAGGCAGTAAATCTTGTTTCTTCACTCGAGGTTTACTGCCTCGAAGCAGGCTTCGGACAGGCCTGACGAGAGGACAGGAACTCTTGTTTCTTCACTCGAGGTGATCCCTACACAATCATGAGTAGGGACGTCTACGCCCACATCAAGACCTCTGCCAATCACGAGTATGGTCGTCTCCGCCCACTTCAAGACCTCTGCCAATCACAAGAGTACGGCTGTCTCCACCCACATCAAGTCCTCCGCCAATCACGAGTAGGGTCGTCTCCGCCCAGTTCAAGACATCTGCCAATCACGAGTAGGGCTGTCTCCGCCCACATTAAGTCCTCTGCCAATCACAAGTAGGGCTGTCTCCGCCCACATCAAGACCTCTGCCAAGCACAAGTATGGTCGTCTCCGCCCACTTCAAGACCTCTGCCAATCACAAGAGTACGGCCGTCTCCGCCCACATCAAGTCCTCCGCCAATCACAAGTAGGGTCGTCTCCGCCCAGTTCAAGACATCTGCCAATCACGAGTAGGGCTGTCTTTGCCCACATCAAGTCCTTTGCCAATCACAAGTAGGGCTGTCTCCGCCCACATCAAGTCCTCCGCCAATCACGAGTAGGGTCGTCTCCGCCCAGTTCAAGACATCTGCCAATTACGAGTAGGGTCATCTCCGCCCAGTTCAAGACATCTGCCAATCATGAGTAGGGCTGTCTCCGCCCACATCTAGTCCTCTGCTAATCACGAGTAGGGCTGTCTCCGCCCACATCAAGTCCTCTGACAATCATAGGTAGGGCCAACAACACCCACACCACGACCTCTGCCAATAGGGCCAACTCCACCCATGTCAAGACCTCCCACAATCCCAAGTAGGGCGAGCTCTGCCCATGTCAAGACCTCCACCAGTCACAAGTGGGGTCTTCTCTGTCCACAAGACAACACGTACTGCAGAGACCCCCCTTCTAGAATTGTGCTTCTGTGATAATTTTTGTAACAAAGTGACTAAAATAATGTTCGTTTTTAAATAATTTGAATAGCGTTGACACAAAAACAAGGACTGGACTGAGACTTCTGCTCAGTTCTGTCCCTACAACGTTGTTCTCTCCATGGTAAAACGTGTCCCGCCTTCTGTGCTTCGTTAAACAGGAAACAAACGGGTGAGAGTAAAGTGGCTAACAAACTGTTTTTCCTGGCGGGGTTGTGTTTAGCATGGTGTCCAGCTACCTGGTGCATCATGGGTACTGCGCCACCGCCACAGCGTTCGCCAGAGCCACAGAGACCGACATCCAAGAGGACCAGTCATCTATAAAGAATAGACAAAGTGAGTGGGTGGATCAGAACCATGCAGGACGGGTTAGTTTGGTTTACCTGTGCTAACTTACCTGTGGTTGAGCAGGAATACAGAAGCTGGTTTTGGCGGGAAGGGTCGGCGAAGCCATAGACGCCACTCAGCAGTTCTACCCCAGCCTGTTAGAGCGCAACCCCAACCTCCTGTTTATGTTGAAGTAAGTCAGAAACACAGGACTTCGTGTTTAGACCTGTACACCTGCAGCGTTTCCCCGGTAACACCCGTCTGCGCCGACCTCCAGGTGTCGTCAGTTTGTGGAGATGGTGAACGGAACCGACAGCGAGGTCCACTGCCTCACCGTCCGCTCGCCCAAGTCCCAGGACAGTTACCCCGGGTCGCCCAGCTTCAGTCCCAGGCACACAGCCAGCAACACACACCTGCACAGCTCAGGTACGCACACACACCTGCACAGCTCAGGTACGCACACACACACCTGCACGGCTCAGGTACACACACACACCTGCTCGGCTCAGGTACACACACACACACCTGCACAGCTCAGGTACACACACACCTGCACAGCTCAGGTACACACACACCTGCACATAGAAGCACACACACACCTGCACACAGAAGCACACACACCTGCACACAGAAGCACACACACACCTGCACACAGAAGCACACACACACCTGCACACAGAAGCACACACACACCTGTGTCAGTCATCTAAATGAGGTTTACCTGTGGACAGGTGCAGACAGCCCCACCTGCAGTAACGGGGTGACTCTCTCCAAGTCTAAGAACCACGGCAGCAGCTTGAAGTACCCCAGCGCCTCCTCCTCCGCCTGCTCCTCCTCCTCCTCCTCCCCCTCCTCCATAAACTACTCAGAGTCCAACTTCTCCGACTCCACCAAGAGTCAGCCGCACAGCACCAACAGCACACAGGAAACCAGGTAGGAGGCGGGTGGGATCAGGTGTTCCTGTGGAGGCGGAGCCTGTGTGAGAGCCCAGCTGACCGAGACAACATTTCTAAATCTGTGTTTCCTGAGTCAAGTTTTCAGAAACTAAAATGTTGCTCCTGGACTCTGTTGGGTTTGTCGCAGCGACAGTGAGATGGAGATGGAGGCGGAGCACTACACCAACGGCGTGGTGGAGGGGTCGACGGCGCGGATCATGAACGGGACGTACAAACACGAAGAGATCCTCCAGCCCGACGACAACAGCATCTGCAACGGGGTGGCAGGTCAGCGCCGCTTTCACCTTTATCCTCCAGTGGTTCCAGCTGCAGCTCCTGAAACGCTCTGAGTCAGGGACGATACCGAAAACACAGCACCGCTTCCACGTGGTGAATTTTGACCGGATCGATAAGCTCCAGAACAGGGTTATTATAGTTCACTAAAACTAACTAAATACCAAAAACTGAAATTGAAAAAACATTTTAGTTAACTGAAATAAATAAAAACTGTTATAAAACGAAAAAAAGATAACTAAATAAAACTGGATTTTTATTTATTTTGTTTTTTAATCAAGTAGTTTCCCATCAGCTGTGGTCTGTAACACTTGTTTACAGTCTGCTGCTGCTCAGCATCACCTGCTGAATGACAACAAAAGTTGGGAGAAAACAACAACAACAACGTCCACTTTGGGATTTCTTTGAATCTGACTGAAAAATCAAACCAAGTGTCTTGTAGTGGAAACAGGTGATAAAGTAGTTAGTTAGTAGTAGTTTTAGTCAAATGAGTTACAACAACACCTAATTTCCCTCTGGGATCAATAAAGTATTTTTGAATTTGAATTGAATTTGAAAACAGGTGGAATACTTCTCAAGGGAAAAGCTGCATGAATCAAGCTCACATGAGATGCTAACTATGACTATCTGACATGCTAGCTTCTCTCGTGAAAAACAACTAACAGGTAGCAGCAGGTTGGAGACAACTATTGTCATCGTCCTAAAATAATAACCAAGTTTTTACTTGGTAAAATTAAGTTACACAATTATTTTAGGAAGGTGTTGCTATAATGAACTGATTTAACTAGTGACCAAATATCTGCTGGTTAGTTAACTCACAGGAACATCACAAGCTGGAGGATGGATTGGCAGATGTGTTTATCAAACTATATTAAAAAAAAAAAACTAATACTAGAACTAATAAAAAACTAAACTAAAACTAAACATTAAAAATGCAATAATAACTAATAAAAACTAGCAAATCCACCATAAAAATTAATTAAAACTAATTGAATAAAAAGAAAAAAGTCACAACTTAATAAAACTAAACTATAATGAAAAATGCAAAACTACTGGTACCAGAATAGTGACATGACAGTCGCGGACACGGCGCATGCTGGTGTTGTTTAGAAGGAGCTCTGTTTTCCTCTCTGCTCAACACGAAGGGGCGAGGCTGCAGCTGATGCTACCTGCATGTGCAGAAAAAGACGTGACGTCTCCTTCATTCAGCGCAGTGTTTACAGAAGTAGCCCATGGAAGCTAGTTGTTAGCATGCTGATTCTAAAATTTCTGTGCACTCAGAGCTGATTAAATAATTGTCTGACCTGCTTGTTTAGTTCAGTGTTTATATCTGAACCTGCCTCTGACCGGATGCTCCGGTGAAGCTTTTTATTTTTGGAATTTTTTAAGTATCGATCGAGTAACGTTAGCATTGATGCTACCTGCGACCGCTCGACGTCACTATCATATTTTTCTGTGGATTATCAGTCACCAAGGACATGGAAAATAAAAAGAAAAAAAGACAAAGCAACTGAGCTTCTGTTCTGTGTCTGAAGACAGGATTTACGTCATGACTCCAGGTCCGTGTAGCTAAAAGCCAACTAAGGAATAAGTGGTTTTAATTTAAGTTATATAGTTCTAATGTAAAAGCATTGCATATTCATAGTTTTTTTGTTTGTTTTTTAGTGTTTCCCCCACCAGTAACCATGCCCTCACACAGACAGATTTTCAGGCATGTAGTTATTTATTTATTCTAAATAACATCAGATCACAATGAGAGATATTTTTGCAGTTGTTCCTCCATATCTACCTCTTTATAAGACGTCAAACTTAGGGGGAGAAAGAAACTAATGAAAATATGGTTCATGTTCTGTGTCACCAATGCTGACCCACACAGAGTCACGTGCACTTGTTTATTTTATTTTATTTTATTTATTTATTTTGCAAAACCCACCACCACCAATTCCCCAGGAGGAAACACTGGTTTTATTCCAATAAAAAAGGTATTGATAAGAGAACCGTTAAAATACCGGATCGATAAGCAGTACAGATAAGAGTAGTAGTATGGATAAAACCTTAATGATACTCATCCCTACTCTGTGTGTGTGTGTGTGTGTGTGTGTGTGTGTGTGTGTGTGTGTGTGTGTGTGTGTGTGTG